AACAACAAAAAAAAAACACCGGTTCCGTATTTCTAGGTTACGATGTTTACCCTAAACCCTAAATCGTAAACCCTAAACCCACGTGTTCGTTCTAGCATGTGCACTTCTAGCTATGCGAACAGCGTAGCTGCTTCAATCGAGGGCTAGGCTCTAGAGTTTGGCGCTTAGGTTTAGGGTTCCAGGGCCCCTACAAGGGTTCTATAAGTATACTACATGATAAGAAATTATAAGTTTTAAGGGTACTGATAGGGTTTAATAGGCAAAGTAGGGTTTAAGTTTAAGGGTTTTGAGTTTCGGGTTAGGCTTAGGGTTCGAGAGCTGGGGCGCTGCAACTTTCCAGGACAATGAGAACCCCAACCCTAAACCCTAAAGCCCTAAACCCAAAACCCTAAACCCTAAACCCGAAAGCCTAAAGCCCTAAAACTGAAACCCTCATTAAACCCGAAGCCCTCCCCAAAAAATCCGAAGACCCACACCCGTGGACCCTAAAACCCCCAACGCGTAGACCCCCAAAAATGGGCGCCAAAATCCCTCACATAAACCTAGGGTTTAGGGTTTACAGTTTAGAGTTTTGGGAAAGCCCCACAATGTCACGCAGAATGAATGAGAGGCTGAGAACCGAACCTACCTTTTGGATGGCTGTACGGAAGCAGCTCTCGAAGCTGTTCCTGCATACCAGGGGCTCTTTTTAAGTGCTTTCCAAAGGCTCTATGAGGGATTCCATAATCAGGCCCTAAGGGCTTCATAATTAGAAAAAGGGTTTGGGGGTATATTATTACTATAATTGTAATCAGGAACCCCACAAGAGTATAGGTAATTCTTAAGGCCCCTATATTAAGTGGCTCGATAAGTCTATAATGGGTTCCATAAGGGCTTCACGGTTCAGCCGGATGATCGCCGGAGGGTGTGGCTTCGGCGTTTTGGGGCTAAGGATCTCGTGGGGTTTAGGGTTTGGGATTTAGGGTTTAGGGTGGTGTTTAGGGTTTAGGGTTTTGGGGTTTAGGGTGGTGTTTAGGGTGTAGGGTTTAGGGTTTGGAGCTTGGGGATGGCATAATAACCAGCTGATGTTCAGAGTTTTCGCAGCACTCGCAGCAAGAGTTGCAGCAGGCCAACACGAGCTGGGCTTAAACTCTACCGCGTGCAACCCTGGCCCAAATTACCAGGACTGTGAGGTCTTGAAACTTGGAGCTTCTACCTTGCGGGCAAGAAACCCTTCGCCCAAACCCGAAACCAAGTTCCGCCTTGTCTCTGCCTGGGTCCCGAAGATACTGGCCACACGTCGACGAAGGCGGCGTGCCTGATGACATGAAGTGGTCTTAGTAGTCGTGGTGGTAGAAGTAGTGGTAGTAGCAGTGGCAGTGGCAGTAGTAGTAGTAGTCGTCGTCGTCGTAGTAGTAGTAGTAGTAGCAGTAGTAGTAGTAGTAGTAGTAGTAGTAGTAGTAGTGGTGGTAGTAGTAGTGATGGTAGTGGTAGTACTAGTAGTAGTAGTAGTAGGAGTAGTAGTAGTTGTAGTGGTAGTAGTAGTAGTAGTAGTAGTAGTAGTAGTGGTAGTAGTAGTAGTAGTAGTAGTAGTAGTAGTACTAGTAGTAGTA